GTCAGTAAATACTTCATATAGCATTTCAGTCAAATCAAATGACTGATTTATGTATTTTATTTTTAATAATAGTTTCTTTTTTGTGTTTCATTAGTACTCATAAATGAAAATATGAATAACAATAACAATAGTATTGATAATAGTAACAGTAATAATGAACAATCATCATTATTGAAATGACTAAATGAATCACAAATACATGGTGGGGTGGGTGGGATGAGGTGGGGTTTTTGCGGGACAGGAGAGGAGAGGAGTATCGGGGTTATAGTTGTTTATCTTGCTTAAATCCAAGAATGGTAGTCGTGGTTTTTTGTATTGATAGGTAGTAGTCAGTAGGCTGTAGGGGGATATTGTATGGATACTGTTCTATTCATTCATAACAGTGTTGTAATAGTAATATAAGTTGGTATTAATTTTTACGTTTCTTTTATACAGCACAAGGGAAGGAGAGTAGATTATGTGGAAAAATAATAATAATAAAGCAGGATATTTCTCAAATTAGGAGTAGAAGAGAAAACATGAACTCATACTATTATTACTCATAGGTATATAAATAAATAAAACATATGTATATATTTATTGCAAGCGAACCCTTTTGAAAAAAAGACGTCATTATCAAATTATGAAATACATAAATTATCTATGTTTGTGTGTATATTTTGTGTACAAAATGTGTGTGTGTGTGCGTGTGTGGGTTCGCATTTATGTGTATTCAAAGTATGGGTGTATATACCATCGACATATTCAACACAATATGGTCGTCTTTTTGAGAGAGAACGTCACAAACACATACAAGTAGAATGTATAAAAAAGGGAAGACAAACAAAAAGTTGAGATTTCTTTATTCTTTACTGTTTAACAGAAGTTGACAGAAGTTCTCTGAGATGGAAAAAAGAATCATCGTTTAGAAAGATTCATGAATAGAGAGTTACTCTTAATCGATCCACACACACACACACCAGCTTACATACAACACAGATAGATACACAAATAAAGCTGTCAATACACCATACTATAGATCATAGAAGCACATAATTTTTTAAACAAATAATAATAATAATAAAGTCGAAAATAAAAACCAAAAAACCAAACAAATTAAGATGACAGGGAGATATATTTTGGTGGTAGTAGTAATGATGCGTCGGGACGGGAGGCGGGGGTTGGGAATTTGTGTCTACCGGTGTTACATGATGCTGAAATCATCATAAATATGACAGTAGAAAGTGAAACGCCTTCCAGTCTTCCTGCTTTCCTTCCTTCCTTCAAAATAGCTGTCAAAAAAGCCACTATATGCTGCTGCTAAGCACTGTTATCATCATTAGTAGAGTAATTAACACAAGTAGAAAGTAATTTCCAAGACATCATAACATAACAAAGAAGAATGAACAAATAACAGTAACAACGCGAGTAGTTAGTTTTGTTCAGTAAGCGACAGTAAACGACTCAAAATACTCAAAAAACATGACACGGTGGGGTGGGAGTGAATGGACAAAACAAACGGGGGTAATTACTATTCAAGACTGAAAACACAGAAGAAGACAAAATACACACAATCAGGTTAAAAATTGCTTTTGATAAGATGATGTAATAACAAAAATACTGTGAAGGATTTATTTTTAGTAAATTTCAATAGTGAAGAATGTATATCAAAATAAAATAATAAACAGTCAAAAACACTGAGTTTTCAGTAAAAATTTTGTTTGTTTATTTTTAATTACTTTTTTTTTAAAAAAAAGCTTGAGAAACAAACAAAAAGCAAAATCAGAGAAAAAAAAATTCATCTCCTTTATTTTCATTGTGTTCTTATCGCGATATAAAAAAACAAACTAACAAAGGAGAACAAAACGTAAGGCAATTTTGTGTTGGGAAAGTAGAAGATTCAGGCAGTTTAATGACAACATTGAGTTTGCGTTGGAAAGATCTCACTACAAGACGACAAAGCATTTTCATCTCAGTTACTGGCGTTATTTTTTATACAAAGAAAGAAAGCTTCCATTTAGTGAGATATCATGTTGGTGCTTACTTACTAACTTACTTAGTTTGTAGCATTATAGAAATATAAGGGAAACGTATACAGGGTTGGTGTTTTTTTGTTCTACATGTGCTTAGGCATCACTTTCTATTGTTATTATTTTTTGCGTATGGTTGAGGAGCTAACCCACAACTCCTCCAATGAAGGTAAGTGTTATGAGGTTGACGGAGGGTGAGGAGCACAATGAGGTCGGAGGGATGTCGTTGCGAGTTGTTGCTGTTGTTGTGTGTTCTTTTTATTCAGTGGGACATTTTGACGAAAAATAAACAACTTGCTGACTATACATATGCAAACATACATACAGCCATATACGTATGTATAGAGCATATCTGTAATTATACTTACTATCTGTTTGTTCACGAAAAAAACTCTTATTTTGTTTGTTTAAATATAATAAGAATAATAATAACAATCATAATGTTGATAACACTTCATTTTGAATGTGTGTTGTTTATCTTCCCTTTTTATCGATTTCAGAAAACAAAACCAGAAAGAAAAAGGTAGAGAAAAAAAGTGTGTATATAACGAAAGTTGTCAATGAATGGTATTCATCAAGGTGGTTCAAATTGTCATTTCTCCAGTTTTCTGATCCAATTGCATTTTTTTATACTAGGTAGTAAGTATTTCAAGGTGTACAATGGCGTGTATGCGTACAAAGTGATTATTAAGTAGATAGATGTATGTGCGCGCAAGACAGTAAGGGAGGGAGGGAGGGACAGTGAGTGTGTGTGTGTATTTGTAAGTGCTAGGTGGGGATAATATATATTGTATATATGCGATCTATTTCTCATGATTACCAGTAGTCATCGCCGTCGTCATCAGCATCATTATTATCGATAATCTTGATGTAATAATAATTGTTAATTGTTATTTTCTGTCTATAACGGGATTGATGACTGAAGCGCGGTGTGTCTCAGCATCAGTAACAGCAGTGTATGTGCGGCAGCAATAGTGAAAATTCTATGTGTATATTGATTATTTGCTTGATTTAACTGATCGGCTTTCAAGCTAATGCAGGACTCCTGCAGGACTTTAAGGTTGAGTATATTGTGTAGGCTCTGAAAAACAAATCAAAGTGAAACGGTAGAATGTGTCAATTTCAAGAAATGAATACCCTTTTTTAAAATACACTATGACATCACGAGACAGAGTCGTGAAGAAAATTTGTGATTGCAAATCTGTTGTCACACGTGTCCACTGTTTGTTTGCCTAGTTTACTAGAAGTCCAAACGAGCAATTTTTCAGATTTGCCACCTATCAGCTTCGTACACCTACATCTTGTAAAGGTAGAACTGGGTGGGAATTGAAGAGGTTAACACTTTTGGCAGTAAAGCCACTCTGCAGTTGTCAGATTTCGTCCTGGATTCGATTCCTGGTGAGGTCATTAATGCGCATCACTGAAGGGTAACCAAACTAGGATGGTCTGGTTTGTAACATACTAGCAAAAAAATAATAATCACATTATTCCAAAAAATGATTTTTATACATAGGGGAATTTTTGGCATTGTCTGTAGTGCAACAATTTATCTCCTTTACAAAACAATAAGTAAATTTGTAAAAATTTTTAAAAATTGCAACAATTACAGTTGGTAGAAAATTAATAACATGTAATAACAACGCTGCTAGCGAGTTCCTGTTAATTCACACATTATTAATCAGGTTCATAAGTTCTTTTCTGATAGATGTCTCTTCACACAAAACCTTGGCTAAATAGAGTATGCCTAAATTTTTATATTTAGCCGTGTGAGCATATATTCTTATGAAATTTATTTATATTTATTTTTGATTTTTGATTACAGCTTGATTCCACACTGTATTGTTGGTACAAGTATGGAATTTTTAGCATGGATATCGCTAGCCCAAATTTTGCAGGCCGACCATAGATATCAGGTGTGGGTCGGCGGGGGATCGAACCTCAAACCATGTGCATGGTCGGCGAGAGTCCTAACCACTGTGCCACCGACGCACTGGCTTTATTTACCACAAGAGATACAAGGAGAAAGTTGCCAATAAAGAGGATGTTCTGTATCAGACAAGATAACTTAAGTCAATTGATTGCAGGAAATAAAATGCTTATCGATGACAATGTTAGTTGGTTGGAACAAAGGCACATGACTAAACCTGCTTACGACCTTCAAAGTTCTACGTAATATAAGATAGACTTTTTCGAAAAATCCAGAGAAGAATAAATGAGAATGAGTAGAATAAACATGAAGAGGTTGAATTATATCAAAAGCGTCTCAACTCCTTATGTATTAGTTCAAATGAAAGACTTTCTTAGAAATCAGCAAGATACGATACGACTAAACTGGATAATGCGACAGACAACGGCCAATGAGGAAACAGGCATAAAATGGAATCACACAAAGACAAACTTGGAGGATCTAGACTTCGCCGATGATATATGTCTGATTTCCCACAATCTGGATGATATGCAAGTGAAAAGCAACAAGCTGGCAGAAGAAGCATCAAAGATAGGACTTCAGGTGAACATAGAGAAAACACAGGTGATGAAGATTCCTGGCCAACACCAACAGCAACAACAACAACAACAGACAACAATCAACATAAATGGGAGGAACCGGAAAGAAACAACCTCCTTCACCTACCCACCTGGGAAGCATCGTTTCAACTACAGGCGGAACTGATGAGGACATCAAAGCCAGAATCGGAAAAGCAAGACAAGCGTTCATTACCCTTAAGTCTGTGTGGAGGTCAACAACACTTAACATCAAAAATAAGATCCGGATTTTCAATTCCAATGTGAAGTCAGTCAGTGCTACTCGCTGTACGGATCACAGACTTGGCCAGCGCGTAATAAAGAGAATCTCAAACAAACTTCAGACCTTCATTAACAGCTGTCTTCACTCAATACTCAAGATCAGATGGCCGGCCAGAAAAGATCAGCAACAGGGATCTCTGTCAATGAGCGAACCAGCCCAGCAGGAACCGATTGTGAAGCAAATAGGCAGGAAGAAATGGAGATGGATTGGCCATACGCTGAGGAAACCATCAAGTGACATCACTAGACAAGCTATCGTTCGAGTGGAACCCGAAAGGGAAGCAGCGAGTTGGTCGTCAGTGCAAGGGTGACTTGGAGCGGGAGGGAGGGGGGGGGAAGTTGGCAGAAAACAGAAGGCAATGGGGACGCGCAGCTGAAGCCCTATGTTCCTCTAGGAATTATAGGATATAATAACAATAATAATAATTTAATTGGTCGATGGTGGCTAGCAGTGGAATCCAGGATGCGCATTTCGTTCTATTTGTGACTCGTCAGCTGGATGTACCTGCATTTCTCAGTGAGTGATGATGTTCCCACCGAGGCTCGAACCCAGTGCCCATAGTTTCAAGCGCCAAAGGGTTATCCACTAGACCACTTGGGCCACGAGAGCCACCTCTTGTGCAAAGGGTTTTTTATATTCTGAAACCTTTCTTTACATGAAAACAAATGCCTACTAGGTACTGAATTCATTCAAATTCTCCCATGATATATAATTGTGTATATTTGGATGATGGAAAATGGTTGTAAATACCATGTGACTATTTTGTTTCTAACCTTGAACAGTGATAAAAATAGGGCTGGTTAATAATGAAACTAAAATTCACTAGTAATTCGCCATTTGACTAACAACAATAGAATAGAGACACAGGTAGGATTGTCCGTGCCTACGGTGAGATGAAATTTCGATTAAGAGAGTTATGTTGTCAGCGGACAATCATTGATTTTTATTACAAAATAATTTTATTCTCTCTCTCTGTTCCTCTAGCTCCATCTCTATCCATAGTAGGCTAGTTAGTCAGTCAATCAGTAGGTCAGTCAACCAATCAGTCTGATTCACTGCCCTAATTTCCTACAACTGTGTTGTTAGAAAAATAAAGTAGGGTAAGAGAAAATCGCATGCTAATGGCCACACGAGAATCTGCACCATTGGTTAAAACCTGTTCAATCTATGCCTAATCCACGTGCTGTTGTGTGTGATGTTTGTTTTTTCCCCCAGTGTAATAGTGTCTTGTTGGGCTGTAAGGGAAAATGTTGATTGACACCAGGTTTTTATTCATGTGAAGGAGAGTAAATTTGTCTGCTTAATACTACTGTTACTATTATCATTAGAATTATCATTATTATTATTTTAGCAAACTAACAGTAAATGAGATCTTTTCTATCGGTTATTGTTAGTCATTTAGTCAGCTATCTTAGGAGGCTACAAAACAGATAACCTGATGTACACTGGACACTTAGTCACGAAAACAACTAATTTAAAACATTTCCTACCGAGAATTTTGCAGACGTTCATTGGTAAACTCAGTTAACTTAGACACCCGGGATAGGATTATTAAAGTTAAACCAGAAAAAGGTCCACGTATAAATCATCACCAAATAGTGAAGCATTTAAAAGAAGGATACCTGTATAAATTGAAATAATAATAATTTTAACATCTCGTTCAGAAAACTGTTCCAAACTCTTTTTTTTTAATTACAGCTTGATTCCACACTGTATTTTTGGTACAAGTATGGAATTTTCAGCATGGATATCGCTAGCCCAAATTTTGTAATCCGACCATAGATATCAGGTGTACATTGGCCGGGGATCGAACCTCGGACCATGTGCATGGTCGGCGAGAGTCCTAACCACTGTGTCACCGACGCACATAATTGAAATTAAGGTATCAAACTTATATAACTTCGATATTTCAAACACGCCCAAATTTTGACGGACTTTTCTGTCAAATCTTGACGGAAGTTCATTGTTTCAAACGCCAAAGCATTATCCACTAGGCTAATTGAGCCACGACAGAGATCTCATATGCAACTGGAATCAGTTGTCACTTACAAGGGAGAAAAGGAAGTGTGTGCGAAGCTCTATTCTGGAACACGTGATCGACTTCTTTCACTTGGTCAACCCTGACCATGATTTCAAGAACATATATAGAATTCATGCTAACTTCCCGCGTTTACTTCGTAGCAGACTTCTAAAGACAGCTGAGGCCTTGGCAATTCATGACTTTAAGTCAGACCTTTGTGTGCAAAAGATGTATGTACAATCCCTACTTCTGCCGTGGCCGTAGAGGGATAGACATTTATTTATTATGTTTACTTAGTTATTCTATGTACTTTTCCCCCATTACTTCGATTATTATTATTATTATTCTCACTTTGAATCTTTTCTTCTTGACCCACTTGACATTTTAAACCCAAAATTATTATTTGTATGTTTTTATTTTTACAATATTGAATTCTATCTTAGCAAATTTCAAACCATATTATGTAACATTTTATATTCGTCTACTAATCTTATAATTATGTACCTCTTTCCAAAATCTATACACCTTATGTATTATTCTATATATGACATTAATTATTTTGCCACTTGACATTAAACTATGATTATAATTATAAATATTTTAATTGCGTTTCATACTATTATTCTTTCATGTATTCATACCTTTGACCTAATTCCCTCAGCGGATATAATTTCTTAAATAAACCGTATATATATACGATTGTACAGCTTGATAATAAATTCGTTGAAAAGAGTCTCTTCGCTGAATATTGTGTTCTTAATGCTACAATGGGAATTATTAAATTATTTATCTTGATTAGACCGAGATGTTCAGCCTCAGTTGATAAGTCAGCTCCTTTTACGGACGCTGCTACTTTAGGTAAGTCCATAGACATTGTCGAAGCGTTCGTACTTAGAGTCAAATTATCAACAAAGGTTGAATCTCTCGATCCAATCAATCAACATGAAAATTAGAAGTGAATTAAAAACAAACTAATTAAATTATTTTTAATATTATTCTAGAAACATTGTGTGACTGATCACTTGAGGAAAGTGTCATTATAACACATTGTTTCCGACAACTAACTAACCAGTGGTCCGGTTATATTTGAAACAATTGGAGCTGAATTCGACTCTCAATAGGAAGATCATTGCTCATGTTGGCGATGCAAGTGATTCCAGCTAACATGACACAATTACGCACAGAACGTGTGTCCTGCATTCCCCTGCTGTTAGTCACTGTCAGTCAAATAATATCTAATACTAACAGAGTAGAAATTTCTAAAACATCGTCTATCAGTTACTTGATGCCTTTTCTAGTTATGACGTTCATAAAAAGAATGTAACGTAGAATGAAATGAATTAATCTTCTTTCGTGACCTTATGACGCATTCATATTAGTATTCATACTGTTTATATATCATACAATCAGTCAGTCAGTTAGTGTACGATATGCGTTACCTCTTAAATATTTTTTTTCTCTCTAAAGTTCACGGTTTTTCCGTCAATCAAGTACCTTTTTCCTGCTTTATACTATTCATTTATTTATCATAATATAAAGTTTATAAGATGCGTTTTTTTCTCTGAATTCTTTTCTATACAAAATAATAAAGATTTTTATCACATGCTAAAACACTGCCGTTAGTTAATTTTTCTTCAAATATCTATCAAGTTCATCCAGTCTGATGACGTAGTCTCGTTTGAAATTTTGATGGTCAAGGTTAACTTGAACTGTAGAAAGTTCTAAATAGTATTCAATAAATTATGTTCCTGTCAGTGGCTTATATTACCGTGAGGAACACGAAATTCATTCTATTTGGGTTTCATAAGAGATACACGTACACTAAGATACTAGTATATGATGATGTTTGCATTAAGATTTAAGCCCAACTCCTAAGTATCATTCACTAGGCTGTTGAGCATTAAGAATCATCTGTTGTACAACGGGTTCTTAAGTGTTATTTGTTGAAATTATAAATTTGGAATCACCTGTTGACTGATTCTACAGAAGGGAGATGCTAGATCTTTACTGAAAGGTTAGCTACGACTATGGACTCTTCAATGCTGTCTTTAGCTTAACGAAATGTTATTTCATTGAACTAGTTTGTCGTATTCTTATCTATCTATCCATCTAATATGCGATAATTTTAATAACTGCTATCTTGACTTCCATGTTGTGGAAATTTCTCATCAGGGTATTGGGGAGGGAAAAATAAGGAGCTTAGTTAAGTTTTCGGAGATTTGGTTCTCAAAAGCTGTACAATGACATACCTTATCATGGTTTCAATTACAATTTAATTCAGTAAAGTAACTAAGCCAGATAAAACGAGATATCATAGTTTAAAGGTGTGGCGAAATGATGAATACAGATCACGAGGGGCATGGAAATAAAACTACATACGATTAAAAAAAATAGCTGAGTAATATGTAAATTAATTTTTTCTTATCAGAAACGGGTGTGAACAAGACAAGCATAGAAACAAAATGAAATAATAGTAATTCTGATTGATAACTGATGTTGAAAAAAGAAAACGATAACTAAGAAGCTAAACATGACTGGATCCATGGTAAGTGTAGACGTTGGACTAGTTTCTTTTGAACACGAAGCTCCAGCTTCTCAATGCATAGGTGTCAACGGCTTTTTCATCAGTACAAAGAAGTGAGAAACACACTACACACCCTTGATAGATTTCCATTCACTTTGTAAATAACTCTGAGTGACGAGTCAGTTAGTTGAGATACTGTGACAGGTGGGCTGACGAGGTACTTCAGACTGAACTAACTAATGTCGCTCATTCTCAGCCATACTAGGCAGTGTTTCTCCAACCTGTTTTGAAAGAATGCGCATAGAGTGGTCTATGTACATAGGTCCACAAGAGCAAGTGAACTGATCAGAGTGCTTATATGTGAGATTTTATTCTTCAAAATTGCACAAAAAAGAATGAGTAGTTAAAAAATAGCACTCTTGGCGTCATTCATGAGAAGGTTTTCTTTAGGAGGCTTGAGATTCTCCTCTTTCCATATTCTCGTATCCTTCAAGGATCAGCCTTTCGTAATACAATACATTTTTACTATTTTGGCTATCCATCTTACATTTGTTAGAATGAATTCACTTCAGTAATCAACAAACGAATAATGTTTTATTGTTTTCATATATATTTCATATATATTATATGGTGATGATAATGAAATAATGAATTAAACTCTTTAGAATAAATACTCCTTCGACTAAATAAAAGACATTTATCAGTAAGTGAATTTATCTATTCATTATTTTATCACATACTCGTGATGTGTTTTAGCCTTCATAAATGCCTGTCATTATACGCTTAAAATAAACCAAAGTACATTATTGATGAAAGGAATACAATTTGTACTTTTCTAGAGTTTTTTTCTTTCTTTTTTGATTTTTCTGTTTGTCAATTTTTGTTAAAATTCAAAATAAACAAGAAATGAAGTCGCCAAAGAATACTTTAAAAACTACACACACACACACACGCACACATAAACACACCACAATCAGAACAACAAATTCCATGCAAAGTAATCTATACAGCATTAAATACCGAGAAATAAAGATGTGCAGATTTGTGTGTGTATGTGTGTGTGCGGGCGTGCTGAGTTAACATCTTTACTGCATTGAGTAATAAATGATGAGTATATGGAATGTATTAGTTAATATAAGGTGGTCTTTTTATTACAAATTACTGAAGTAATTAATTAGTCTTTTGGTTGACTTAGTTACGTTGTTGGATCAATGGGGAGATTTATAGCCTGATACGCAGGATGATCATTGGTCTTTTTGGTTAGGCAAATTCATGAGCACTTACTTGGTTATAATCATTTATTTCTGTTTTAAAGATATAACTATGAATTATTGACAACGGTTCTTAGGCTTAGAGTTGGTGTCTCAGTGGTAGAATAATTAGGAGCCACACGCTTGGGAGATCTACGTTCAATTCGCCGATAAGTCACCCTTAAACATCACCTAGTTTACTACTATTTTTTATATTATGATTCCCTTAGATTCGAAGGGGAATATAGGGCTTCAGCAACACTTCTAGTGAGAGGTCGTGACCAGTAGGGTACAGCAAATAGGGTGTGAGGACGAATACTCGCCGAAGACATTGGCTAGAGGTCGCGCTATGTCGTGAATTGGCAGAAGTTAGAATTCATGGGCCATTGGGTCGGGTCGCAGTGGCTTAATGGTCTACGAGCTCGCTAACCTTGTAACCAGAAGGTCCTGGGTTCGAACCCTGGCGCTGGGTGCGTACTGCTGAAGAGTCCCGAAGTGGGCTGACGAAACAGCTGTCCAGTACTCTCAGGTTTTCCAATGGTTCTCTAACCAATGTCAGCTAATGATGAAATCCTGTAACATCCCTGCTTCATTCCGTTCTCTGCAGTCCTTTCTAGCTGGCTACACAATTTCCAATGGGATTTCAGCTTCCCCTCACACTATCTCTTCTATGTAAACCTTGGATACCCAACTCATCAATACGCATTGACGTCCCACTCGGGTGATTACTTGGCGTGAGATGCCAGTTGTCTCCTCCACGAGTGTCCAATCCAACTCCACTTTCTTCTATAAATTTGGTGAGCAGTAGGTTTTTGATTGGTTCGTTCCCTGAGTTTCTTGCTACTAATTCTCTCTGGCCTGCCGTGTGGTCATTGTTATTGAGACAGCAAAGGTAGATACTGATGAAAGTCTGCAGCAATCCACCTTAGAAATGCGTCAATTTACTGACCCATATAGAAGAAGTGACTGGCTTAACATTGATGTTGAAAATTCGAATTTTCTTCTTTATGCTGAGTGCAGATTTCCAAACTGATTTCAGGGCAATGAGTGTCTGTCTTGTATTTTCGAAGTGAAGGATGTGACCTCTTTCAAATTTACCCCGTTGATACTGAGTGATATTTGTTGTGGTTTGTTGGTTGTCTTCATCACTTCTGTTTTATCTATGTTCACTTGAAGTCCTGTCTTTTCTGATTCCTCTGTCGACTTCTTGGTTTTCCCCGTTAAGTCTTTGGATTTATGCGACATTAAAATAAATCATCTGAGAAGTTTAAATCTTTTAGAGTCTTCTTGTCCGCCAAAAGTATTCCTGTCTTTCCCACAGCCTGGTACATTATTCAGTCCACCACAATTAGAAATATCACTGGTGATAGTTTATTAGCTGGTATTAAACCCACAAAAGGAGGAAGATTGGGCGTAGGGCTAACAAGCTCACCTCCTAACGGAGAAATCGAAAGCCTGAAGCCCTATGTTCCACTCGGAATACAATGAAATGAGAAAAAGGAAGAAGGGTTCTCGAGTATTTTAATAGTTAACGTTATGTACTCCGATGAAATTTCGTGTTTCACTTCAGAAGGCTTTATCTAATTCCTTATTACGCCTCAGAAATCATGACAGTGCATTAACGATGGAGCAAATAGATTATTCTATCATATTTCCGACAGGAATAGTCTTAGCTTGTCCTCCTTTATTCAATATGCATTTCTTAATGCAATATTATGCTTACATAGGGTCGAATATTTAGATTCCGATTCTTGTGGGTGAGTTGATCAAATATCATATCAGTAAAATTCTAACCACTGACTGAACTGCTGTTGTTATCTTCAAACTTACTTATCCCCTTATGAAGTAAGCACTATGGATGCATTTCCACCTTTGATCGGACACTAGTTAGTAACAGTCCTTTGTTTGCTGCAAACATAATTCTATCAGTCAAGTTTGCACCGTGGCCACCAGGCGAGATGGGTCGTCATCACAGTGCACTTTAAATTGTTGATACGAGATGGTGGAGACAATCAGTAGGAAGCCTTCGATCTAGGTTTCGTGCTAGTTGGTACTTTTCGGATACAATTCAGTCTGCACCTTACAAAGGACTAGACGCGTAACACCAGTTTCTAACTGGTGTCCAATCAAAGTATCGTATACAGTCCTACAGGAGGTTAATCGCGAGCCCAAACAGCTCAGTGGTAACGTCTCTGATTGTAGCACTGGGTGACACTGGTTCGAATTCCAGAAGGGATATGACTTCCATCAAGGTTGCAGATACGCCTTGCTGACTGATGACTGCCAACTATCATGAAGCCTAGCTCATGCTGAGCTTGCTGATGATTGCCTCCAAACATCTAACATCAGCATTTCCACCTATTTATCTGATTCCTTTACCTTGTAGTGGAAGAATGGGCTACATACTGAAAGAATTGAAGAAATACATTTAACTAATAACAGAGTAAACTGACGCATAACATGAGAGTTAAAGTGATAACACAATATTAAGAATAAATTAGCAATTTTAAAGTATCATAGCCAAAGTCAAGGTCTTTCAAAAGTTGACCTTCAAGGACCAATCACACACAGGGAATTCCATGAAATGTCTTTCCGAATAAAATCATGCCTGCCTTTTTGGACTTGGAAAGGATAGATACAGTATTCTACTTACTTACCTCGTACTTTTTCTCCTAATCTATATTGTTAGGTATTGTTATAGCATTCACGATTTAGGTTTAGTATCTAGGGTTAAGGTTAATTTAGAGTTAAAGGTAGGATCAGGAGTTAGGATTATGTTTAGAAATAGGAGTTAAACTGAAGAATAGCATCAGAAATACCAGTGGATCTCAAAGTACAATGACCTACATTCACTTGGAAGAATGGGTATATCGCTCATGGTATGATTTCTCTATAGATCATCTGTGTATTGACTGGGAGACATTCATATAACACATAAGCTGCAAATATACAATGTAATATCATGCTAGCAATATTTTTTAGTGGATTTTTCAACGATCATGCGACTTTTTAGTATCTGAATTTTGATTGATTGCTCAAGGTCATTGTAGTTTTGTCTATGACAGTTAGTTTAACTTTGCCAATAAATTAGACTCATTATTCAAATATCACCATGTATTTTAATAATCAAAAGCTTTAAAGCGCAAAAGACAAACATTATTCAACTGTTAACTGCTTACCTGTTTTATGAAAAAATATATGAATTGAATAATTTCCAAAATGACAAAAATAGACAAACTGTTTTTATTTTTTATTAGGTGAAATTAAATTTGTCACCAGTAGTAGACGATTACGATTATCTGTTGTTATTGTTGTCTTGGTGGTTGTAGAAAAAAATGTGATTAGGAAATATTGAATATTGAATAACTAATTAATTTCATTTATTTGTTGAACTATGTTTAGACCACCATGTTAATAGTCTATTTGAGCTTTTCGATCGAGGTTTTGAATCATGACGAGTTGATGAAGACTTTTTATTGTTTTTACCAAAATGTGATGTAAATCGACTTTTTCTTTTTGATGCATTTTGTTCATCCAATAACTTAGTATCTAAAGATAATAAGTATAATAAAATGTTTTATGAAATAAATAAAAATAAATAAAGCAAAAACACATTCAACTACTCATTCTATAAAAGATAGTTATCATGAAAAATGGAGTGTATAATGGGATTTAAATGTTATATACATTACAAGGAAGATTTCTCCAAGAATGATAACTAGTCAAACAATCAGGAAAAGGCAATTTGAAATGGATATCTCTTCTTTCCCATTCCGGAATTCATGAACAGTCAGCATAGAATTCGGGTGAGAATTATCAACCCTTGCGTCGAGTCGGCTGTTATTAGGTCACTAGGGTTACGGAAATCTATTAGCTATGAACTTCACCATATATACATACGTATATATTGTTGTCTACTAAAGGCCTGCTTAAAACTTAGGCTACCAAAAACCTCCATCTTTTTTTACTGCAGATAATTCCTCCTATTCAGTTTGTTTTAATCCATCAGAATATTACCTCTAGCTGGTATTATTTACTCTCGCGACTATTTGAAATGTTTACAACCTGCTGATTCGCAGGTTTCTATCAAACTTGAGGAAAAGCATAATCGTGGTAAGTGTTCCTGAGTTATATATATATATATATATATATATATATATACCCTTGGGTCTCAAAGTGTTCTCCCAAACTTTTTACCATTGAATTCCAACCAAATGTCATGGATTGCTTGCTCAAAGGAGATGAAGAAGAAATATCATCATAATGGATTGGTTGGCAATTCAGATCAGATAGCATATGTTACGCAATTTACTGTCGCTTAATATTTTACTTGAAGATCCTGGGAGAAGAGGAAATTCCATTCAATAAACTCCGTTGAAAGTTCTTCACATTATACAAACACCGTCCAAATTATGGCAGAAGAAGCATCAAAGATAGGACTTCAGGTGAATATAGAGAAAACAGAGGTGATGAAGATTCCTGGCCAACACCAACAACAACAATGACAGACAACAATCAACATAAATGGGAGGAACCGGAAAGAAACAACCTCCTTCACCTACCCACCTGGGAAGCATCGTTTCAACTACAGGTAGAACTGATGGGGACATCAAAGCCAGAATTGGAAAAGCAAGACAAGCTTTCATTACCCTTAAGTCTGTGTGGAGGTCGACAGCACTCAACATCAAAAATAAGATCCGGATTTTCAATTCCAATGTGAAGTCAGTCAGTGCTACTCGCTGTACGGATCACAGACTTGGCCAGCGCGTATAAAGAGAATCTCAAACAAACTTCAGACCTTCATTAACAGCTGTCTTCACTCAATACTCAAGATCAGATGGCCGGCCAGAAAAGATCAGCAACAGGGATCTCTGTCAATGAGCGAACCAGCCCAGCAGGAACCGATTGTGAAGCAAATAGGCAGGAAGAAATGGAGATGGATTGGCCATACGCTGAGGAAACCATCAAGTGACATCACTAGACAAGCTATCGTTCGAGTGGAACCCGAAAGGGAAGCAGCGAGTTGGTCGTCAGTGCAAGGGTGACTTGGAGCGGGAGGGGGGGGGTGAAAGTTGGCAGAAAACCGAAGGCAATGGGGACGCGCAGCTGAAGCCCTATGTTCCTCTAGGAATTATAGGATATAATAATAATAGTAATACTATTATCATACGTCATCATGCCTAAATTGATGGATCACACTGGTGGAAATTTCTCTATAGTGTCCTACAGAATCTATCCTGTGGTTAGTTAGTGATATACGGTAGACTGAGGGTGTATCTAAAATATCAATCCACTTAACATCAGTCAAATCTACGTGGGCTATATGACCTGATTATGTGCTTTAACTACTTTCTGCATGACTATGTCACTATGTTTAAATGAAGGACTCCTCTCCATTTTTTGAAATGAATGGGTAGATTACAAATTTTATCCAAATTTATGTGTCATCCGAATACAAGATCATTGACATACTAAATTAAGATAGTCTAATTTGTTTGAGAATATACGCTTAATCTGTGGGGCTGAAAGTCAAAGTACATGTAGCCAGGCTATTCAAATACTTTAGAATAAATGTATCCAAATACTAGTTCACTCATAATCCTATGCCTTTTGAATAACTTAGCTATACATCATAGTCTATTTTAAGTCACCTACATACTTTAGTCTATCGGATTGTAGTTCACATATCCTGTATTATCTTAGATGGAAATCACATGTTTATGATTTGATCTAAAAATAACATTGACTATTAGCTAAGGGAAGGAGAGAATGGTACATTTCTGCTAATATGATTTGAATAGGCCTGAATTTACGTTGTATAAAACCACCAGACAGTGAAACTCTGGTCGTGGGAATGATAGTATATCGACCATAAACGTACTACCCTAATAAGCAGAACAATGATGTTTGAAGTTATCTGTCTTCAAACTCCTATTTATGTTTGTAACCAGAATATACATGAGCCATTTGTGTTAGACAGTAGTGTTAGTAGTACAAAGCTAACTATAGAAACACTTATTGTAACATTTATAATAGTCGGCATAGTTTGAAGTGACTTATAGATGTCATCATTTGGATATGAATAGAAGTAGACTCTGAGTACAGAAAATTCTAGCAAACATAATCATTTTATCCTGGTGAATTTGTTCTTCTTGCTTTGTTTAAATTTGTAGGTTTGCCCATGGAGTGACATCAGTTAGAGAATAATTGGGAAACCTGGACGTAGTGGATAACTGTTTCGTTCGAATTGGGACTCTTCATCAGTACGCACCAACCGCCGGGGTCAGAACACAAGAACTTTAATTACAAGGCCAGCTCGTTGACCATACCTGGAGTGCTAGTGAGAAGGTGTGACCAGAACTGCAACCAATCAAATTCCTGCAAACTAACACTTGTTTAAATTTATCAAGGAAAATAATTATATGAAATCACAATTGCGCCTAGTTTAATTTGCGAAAGCCGTGAAGTACACGAAACACTTAGTTTTGTTTCTTTTCTGTTTATACATGAAATAAATGAGTAAATTATTGTGTGAAACAGTAGTAACAATAAAATTACTATAAATATTGTTACTTATCAGTTAGATGTATACAGTTAAAGCAATACAAAAAATCCTTGCCTTGACTTTATCTTTTTCAATGGACTGAGTTTAATGACGTAACATTAAACAGTGTTAAACTTCCACAACAGGTACTTCAGAATCTTAAATAATCCGTCAAACGTGTTGTTCTGCATTGTATCGACTTGTATAACAAGTATTTACTAACTTTTATGCTATGTGCACCTAGTTATTATTTGTACTTTCGGACAGCGGCAACGCCAACTTGGATGATATAAATAAGTACTGAAGGACCTCTTTACTGGGTCAACTCAATAAAAAGCAACAACAGAACCATTCAAAACTATACTGAAAACGTTACGGAAGGCTCTGTTGTCTCCCAAGAAAATCTAGATCAGTAAACGTTTTCCTTAATTATTCCACAATCTGGAATAACCTCATCTTTCCTAGTTATAAAATAATGTTCAACATTAACAGTCAAAATAATAAATTGATTGATCAGAGGATTTCATTATGAGCTAACATCAGTTAGAGAACCATTTGGAAACCCGAACGCTTCGTCCCTTTTTGGACTCTTCACAGTTCGCACCCCACCCACGTAGAAGACATTGCGAAGTGGTCGCGCTATGTCATGAATTAGCAGAGGTAAGAATATATGGGTTGGCCATTGGATCAGGTCCAAGTGGCTTAATGGTCTATGAGCTAGATCACCTTGTAACCAGAACGTCCTGGGTTCGAACCCTGGCAGTAGGCGCTATTTCCGAAGAGTCCCAAGTTAGAACAAAACGGCCGACTAGTATTCCCGGGTTTTCCAATGGTTCTCTAACTGATGTCAGCTGATGATGAAATCCTTCAATCAATCAAACAAAAGTCCCTACAAAATCAATACTTAATAATAAATTGATTGTCAGAAGTTTGAAAAGAAAATAGCTATAATTTGAAAAGTTCATCAAGATCGATTACGGACTGATATGGTGTCAGTCAGAGAACCATCGAACACCAGGGAGTACTGAACAGCTACGTCGTCCTAGTCCAATAATCTTCAGTGGCACGTAACTTGTAGGTTTCAAACCCAGGACCATCTGTTTACAAGGATAACTCGGAGATCATTCATCCACTGGGACACAATCCAATGGCCCGTGAATTTGAGCTTCCAGCGACTCGTGATTTCAATGCCACCACTAGACACGGTCATCAACGATTTTTAAGTCTTTGAAATATGTGAAAGCTCTTCACCTAATTTACTAACCGGTTCTAAGCCTGGAAAGAGAGGAGATTGGATATGCGATTAGACATCCTACCTCAGAAAATCATTCCAATCTATACAGAAACTTCACAGAAAATCTAGTAAAGTATTGACTTCATTATTTTTGCCAGATACCTATCGATAACCAATACTTTCTTAGATTTCAGAATAACTGATACCATGTAATAAAGAACTGTATCACATGTACAGTTAACTTTGTCGTGCTCTGAAGAATTCTATCATTCCCATCAATCGTTGCTTTCTTGGCCTAAACCAACAAATTGTGATAGAAAATTGAATCAAGATATTTTCTATGATATGAGTGAGTTAATTTACTTGTACTGCTCCTAGTAATTTCTCAAACTTTTACAATAATAGCTTAAAACATCAACGCTTAAGGGAACAGTACTGTTTTTACTTATATCTCAACAGGCTTAACTCTAATATACATAACTTTACAAATAAAAATTCAAACATAAACTAATCGCGGTGTTTTGTCAATAGGATAATAATTTGCAAATAGGCTTGAAACAACTCTCATTATTTCGGCTTATAATTGACAATAAGAGTGCATTACTGATACACAGAAGCAACAATAGCATTCAAAATAAAGAATTATGGTGAATACAGATGACAAATAGATAAAATATACATTTTTTGCACATGACATTCTTTAAATCATGTTGAATAATATTCGTCCTTTTGTTCAAGTTTGGCTATCGATTGATATCACTCAGAGAACCATTGGAAACTAATGTTTACCGAATGACTGTCAAATCCTAGTTCGGGATTCATCGGCGGTACACACTCACTGCTAGGGTTCGAACTCAGGACCTCCCAATTAAAAGGCAAGCTCGTAGAACATTAATCAGTGGGATCTGACTCAATGGTCGATGAATTCAAACCTGTACCATCTCATGGGCCATTGAGTCAGATCCTAGTGACTTAATAGTCTACGAGCTTGCCTTGTAACTGGTAGGTACTGGATCTGGACCCTGGTGGCGGGTGCGTACTGATGATGAGTTCCAAACTAGGGCGAAGCAGCTGTCTAGTATACCTTGGTTTTCAATGGTTTCCTAACCGATATCAACCTGTGGCCAAACTTGAAAAACAAATCAAATCCCTACAAACCAACTCTTGACAGTTCATCCTTTTATCCATGTCAGCATAAAATAATCATTCTGCAGAACCTAAACTTTTTTATTTCACTTCAGTAACGCCTTAAATTACTTCATAAATTATTCTGTTTATTATTCTATTATCTGAAACCATCCTTTTTAAAAAATGGTGGATTAGGTAGCGAGTTTTGAATAGTAAACAATTTATAATTTAAATGTTTCATGATGGGATATAGTATCAGTGGTAAAGAATTTTTAAATGAACAAAAAATTATAAAATGCACAACATTTAAATTCACTTACCAAGAGATATAAGACTGCTTTCTTCTTCAGCTGTTATCCGTACCATACTAAGACTATTTTGAGATAGTTGAGATATTAATGTTCTCCTTGATTCACCCAAGGGCCATTCAGGTTCATAGGTTGGAAGAGCTTTATCATCCATATATGGTACATCGTAAACTACTTCTTTGCTTGCTCGAAAGCTTGGAATTTTTGTAGGAGTTAAAGCATCTGGAAATAGATAGTCATCGTCGACAAAATGACATTCAGGAGGTGGATACTCCAAAGTACTCCAGGGGCGACGTTTAGCTGAATTAACTACACTTCTTCGTAGGAAGTCAGAAACATTAGAATTACTATTTTCATGTTCATTTATTTTTCTTGGCTTTAAGTATACATCTGAAATTTCGTCTGAGAAGGTGCATTCGTTCTCATCTAAGTGGATGTTTTCTGTGGAGTCACTGTAGGGTTTTTGTGCGCCATGCCACGTTTTCCTAATTGAAGGGTCTCTAAATTTACTAGGAGAGCGTCGTGGGGTTGATGTAAGGTCATCATTTAGCTCAGATATAGATATAGCTATCTCACCTTGATTGTATTCTTGTAATTCACTAGGCTGTTTATCTTTCATATGGAGTCTTGAATGGGTTTTATCCTGATGTTTAGGTCGATGTTTCTTTTTCGGCACTGTGACATTTATGGAATCTGAATTATCTTTAGAAATGAAATATTGATGCTTTTTCATTTCTGATGAATCTTTTCCTTCCTCGTTTCGATTACTTGTAACTTCAACCGAATGGTCACCCAGATTTATTTTCTTGTGTGAAAGCGGCCAAAACGATCGTTTAACATGCTTGGAAGTGTGAAGTGGACTGTCTGAATTCTGATAATCAGCTTTAAAATCTTCCAAAGCATCACGATTACTAACAGGATAATTTGTTACCTCTGAATGTTCTTCGCATGAAAATCCCTCCGAAGAAATATCTTCTTTTGGTATGACACGATCACAATGAATAGGGACGATTAAAATTTCATCAATTTCCGCTGAAACTGTTTCATCATTCGAAGCATCGTCGTTGATTCCCGAATCAACAGGAGAGGAAAAGCTTTCAGTGATTTCTTGAAAGGCGTCAGGTGGAGAAAAGCGTGCATTAAATGCATCCGAGTTGAAAGACTTAGTAGTACAAACAGGGGAAATAACAGGTTCTTCTGCTAAGACAGCATCGTCAACAAAGGCATTGGAGACAGATTTAACCTTCAATTTGTCGTCCAATTTCAACAGTTCACGTGATAAGTGAGTCGGAGAAGATTTAAAGGAAACAACTGGAGGAATGAACTCCTCGTCAGAAAGAACAGATTTCATGAAATCGGGAGATATAGCAGAATCATCATAAGAAGTATCCACAGAAGAAGCCGGTGAATCAACAGACTTAGTAAGAGAACATGAAAGATAATCGCCAGAGGGAAGAGAAACAGCAGGATCAAAACGAACAACAGCCTTCTTTGATTTAGAACGGCCTAAGCTCAGCGAAAAAGGGAAACGAGAAGAAGAGCGTGACTTTTTCGAAATTACACGAGAATCATCGACCATATCAACGTCAACACTCGGAACATCAACCTTCCCACTGACATCGACACCAGCACCTATGTCTCCCGACACCTTCGGCAACTTCGCCTTCTTCGCCTTCTTGCCTTTGGAGCCCCAACCGAAGGTGAACTTCTTCGATGGAACACTGACGTCCACATCGGGAGCCGAAACCTGTCCAGTCACTCCCAACTCTCCACCTCTACCTGCACCACCTGACACGCCGATTTCCGGCACAGACGCAGATACCTCCACATCAGGAACCTCCAAGGAGACGTCGAGATCGGGTTTCGGAACTGAGACATCAACACCACCAGTCGGAGCCGAGACAGATATTGAGGCGTCCGGCTTTCTAGCACCACCACCTATCTTCAGACCACCCTTCGGGAACCCGAACTTCGGAGACCAGTGGAATTTCTTACCTCCTTTGCTTGCTTTGCCATCAATGTGGGCGTCCAGTCCGGCGTCCAAATCTACCTTCGCACCTCCCTCTCCCTCCACCTTCACACCAGCTTTCGGTGTCTTCAATTTCGCCTTCTTATTACCAAAACCGAAACCGAATTTCGGTGCCTTGATTGAAATATGCGGTTTGGGAACGTCGACACTCGCACTCACACCTGCATCTGGCGCTACACCATGCACGTCGAGATCTGGACCGGTCAGCTGTACACTAGGCAATTTCACGTCCAATTCAGCACTGGGTAGTTTCACATCTGTGTCCAGACCGGCAGACACCTGAGGAATGGACAAGTCACCCTCCACAGACGGTGCACTCACACCTCCTGATATCTCCAGGTCAGGCAGTTTCAAATCAGCGTCGTTGATCTTCACGCCAGTCCCATCTAGATCCAGCTTACCAGAGAGATCACCTGTTAACGATGCGTCTGGAAGGGACACGTCGACACTCGGCAAATTACCACTGGCTCTCAATGATGGCAATTCCACAGATGGAACAGTTCCACTCACACTCACATCGGGTGCATCTGCATGCAGTTTTCCAGACACCTCTGGCATGTGCATCTTGAACTTTGGCAAAGTGATTTTAGGGGACCAGTTGAACTTCTTACCTTTGCCATGAGCATCTGCGTCTACATCGACCTCAACACTGGGAACGTCAACCTTCCCACTGACATCGACACCAGCACCTATGTCTCCCGACACCTTCGGCAACTTCGCCTTCTTCGCCTTCTTGCCTTTGGAGCCCCAACCGAAGGTGAACTTCTTCGATGGAACACTGACGTCCACATCGGGAGCCGAAACCTGTCCAGTCACTCCCAACTCTCCACCTCTACCTGCACCACCTGACACGCCGATTTCCGGCACAGACGCAGATACCTCCACATCAGGAACCTCCAAGGAGACGTCGAGATCGGGTTTCGGAACTGAGACATCAACACCACCAGTCGGAGCCGAGACAGATATTGAGGCGTCCGGCTTTCTAGCACCACCACCTATCTTCAGACCACCCTTCGGGAACCCGAACTTCGGAGACCAGTGGAATTTCTTACCTCCTTTGCTTGCTTTGCCATCAATGTGGGCGTCCAGTCCGGCGTCCAAATCTACCTTCGCACCTCCCTCTCCCTCCACCTTCACACCAGCTTTCGGTGTCTTCAATTTCGCCTTCTTATTACCAAAACCGAAACCGAATTTCGGTGCCTTGATTGAAATATGCGGTTTGGGAACATCGACACTCGCACTCACACCTGCATCTGGCGCTACACCATGCACGTCGAGATCTGGACCGGTCAGCTGTACACTAGGCAATTTCACGTCCAATTCAGCACTGGGTAGTTTCACATCTGTGTCCAGACCGGCAGACACCTGAGGAATGGACAAGTCACCCTCCACAGACGGTGCACTCACACCTCCTGATATCTCCAGGTCAGGCAGTTTCAAATCAGCGTCGTTGATCTTCACGCCAGTCCCATCTAGATCCAGCTTACCAGAGAGATCACCTGTTAACGATGCGTCTGGAAGGGACACGTCGACACTCGGCAAATTACCACTGGCTCTCAATGATGGCAATTCCACAGATGGAACAGTTCCACTCACACTCACATCGGGTGCATCTGCATGCAGTTTTCCAGACACCTCTGGCATGTGCATCTTGAACTTTGGCAAAGTGATTTTAGGGGACCAGTTGAACTTCTTACCTTTGCCATGAGCATCTGCGTCTACATCGACCTCAACACTGGGAACGTCAACCTTCCCACTGACATCGACACCAGCACCTATGTCTCCCGACACCTTCGGCAACTTCGCCTTCTTCGCCTTCTTGCCTTTGGAGCCCCAACCGAAGGTGAACTTCTTCGATGGAACACTGACGTCCACATCGGGAGCCGAAACCTGTCCAGTCACTCCCAACTCTCCACCTCTACCTGCACCACCTGACACGCCGATTTCCGGCACAGACGCAGATACCTCCACATCAGGAACCTCCAAGGAGACGTCGAGATCGGGTTTCGGAACTGAGACATCAACACCACCAGTCGGAGCCGAGACAGATATTGAGGCGTCCGGCTTTCTAGCACCACCACCTATCTTCAGACCACCCTTCGGGAACCCGAACTTCGGAGACCAGTGGAATTTCTTACCTCCTTTGCTTGCTTTGCCATCAATGTGGGCGTCCAGTCCGGCGTCCAAATCTACCTTCGCACCTCCCTCTCCCTCCACCTTCACACCAGCTTTCGGTGTCTTCAATTTCGCCTTCTTATTACCAAAACCGAAACCGAATTTCGGTGCCTTGATTGAAATATGCGGTTTGGGAACGTCGACACTCGCACTCACACCTGCATCTGGCGCTACACCATGCACGTCGAGATCTGGACCGGTCAGCTGTACACTAGGCAATTTCACGTCCAATTCAGCACTGGGTAGTTTCACATCTGTGTCCAGACCGGCAGACACCTGAGGAATGGACAAGTCACCCTCCACAGACGGTGCACTCACACCTCCTGATATCTCCAGGTCAGGCAGTTTCAAATCAGCGTCGTTGATCTTCACGCCAGTCCCATCTAGATCCAGCTTACCAGAGAGATCACCTGTTAACGATGCGTCTGGAAGGGACACGTCGACACTCGGCAAATTACCACTGGCTCTCAATGATGGCAATTCCACAGATGGAACAGTTCCACTCACACTCACATCGGGTGCATCTGCATGCAGTTTTCCAGACACCTCTGGCATGTGCATCTTGAACTTTGGCAAAGTGATTTTAGGGGACCAGTTGAACTTCTTACCTTTGCCATGAGCATCTGCGTCTACATCGACCTCAACACTGGGAACGTCAACCTTCCCACTGACATCGACACCAGCACCTATGTCTCCCGACACCTTCGGCAACTTCGCCTTCTTCGCCTTCTTGCCTTTGGAGCCCCAACCGAAGGTGAACTTCTTCGATGGAACACTGACGTCCACATCGGGAGCCGAAACCTGTCCAGTCACTCCCAACTCTCCACCTCTACCTGCACCACCTGACACGCCGATTTCCGGCACAGACGCAGATACCTCCACATCAGGAACCTCCAAGGAGACGTCGAGATCGGGTTTCGGAACTGAGACATCAACACCACCAGTCGGAGCCGAGACAGATATTGAGGCGTCCGGCTTTCTAGCACCACCACCTATCTTCAGACCACCCTTCGGGAACCCGAACTTCGGAGACCAGTGGAATTTCTTACCTCCTTTGCTTGCTTTGCCATCAATGTGGGCGTCCAGTCCGGCGTCCAAATCTACCTTCGCACCTCCCTCTCCCTCCACCTTCACACCAGCTTTCGGTGTCTTCAATTTCGCCTTCTTATTACCAAAACCGAAACCGAATTTCGGTGCCTTGATTGAAATATGCGGTTTGGGAACGTCGACACTCGCACTCACACCTGCATCTGGCGCTACACCATGCACGTCGAGATCTGGACCGGTCAGCTGTACACTAGGCAATTTCACGTCCAATTCAGCACTGGGTAGTTTCACATCTGTGTCCAGACCGGCAGACACCTGAGGAATGGACAAGTCACCCTCCACAGACGGTGCACTCACACCTCCTGATATCTCCAGGTCAGGCAGTTTCAAATCAGCGTCGTTGATCTTCACGCCAGTCCCATCTAGATCCAGCTTACCAGAGAGATCACCTGTTAACGATGCGTCTGGAAGGGACACGTCGACACTCGGCAAATTACCACTGGCTCTCAATGATGGCAATTCCACAGATGGAACAGTTCCACTCACACTCACATCGGGTGCATCTGCATGCAGTTTTCCAGACACCTCTGGCATGTGCATCTTGAACTTTGGCAAAGTGATTTTAGGGGACCAGTTGAACTTCTTACCTTTGCCATGAGCATCTGCGTCTACATCGACCTCAACACTGGGAACGTCAACCTTCCCACTGACATCGACACCAGCACCTATGTCTCCCGACACCTTCGGCAACTTCGCCTTCTTCGCCTTCTTGCCTTTGGAGCCCCAACCGAAGGTGAACTTCTTCGATGGAACACTGACGTCCACATCGGGAGCCGAAACCTGTCCAGTCACTCCCAACTCTCCACCTCTACCTGCACCACCTGACACGCCGATTTCCGGCACAGACGCAGATACCTCCACATCAGGAACCTCCAAGGAGACGTCGAGATCGGGTTTCGGAACTGAGACATCAACACCACCAGTCGGAGCCGAGACAGATATTGAGGCGTCCGGCTTTCTAGCACCACCACCTATCTTCAGACCACCCTTCGGGAACCCGAACTTCGGAGACCAGTGGAATTTCTTACCTCCTTTGCTTGCTTTGCCATCAATGTGGGCGTCCAGTCCGGCGTCCAAATCTACCTTCGCACCTCCCTCTCCCTCCACCTTCACACCAGCTTTCGGTGTCTTCAATTTCGCCTTCTTATTACCAAAACCGAAACCGAATTTCGGTGCCTTGATTGAAATATGCGGTTTGGGAACGTCGACACTCGCACTCACACCTGCATCTGGCGCTACACCATGCACGTCGAGATCTGGACCGGTCAGCTGTACACTAGGCAATTTCACGTCCAATTCAGCACTGGGTAGTTTCACATCTGTGTCCAGACCGGCAGACACCTGAGGAATGGACAAGTCACCCTCCACAGACGGTGCACTCACACCTCCTGATATCTCCAGGTCAGGCAGTTTCAAATCAGCGTCGTTGATCTTCACGCCAGTCCCATCTAGATCCAGCTTACCAGAGAGATCACCTGTTAACGATGCGTCTGGAAGGGACACGTCGACACTCGGCAAATTACCACTGGCTCTCAATGATGGCAATTCCACAGATGGAACAGTTCCACTCACACTCACATCGGGTGCATCTGCATGCAGTTTTCCAGACACCTCTGGCATGTGCATCTTGAACTTTGGCAAAGTGATTTTAGGGGACCAGTTGAACTTCTTACCTTTGCCATGAGCATCTGCGTCTACATCGACCTCAACACTGGGAACGTCAACCTTCCCACTGACATCGACACCAGCACCTATGTCTCCCGACACCTTCGGCAACTTCGCCTTCTTCGCCTTCTTGCCTTTGGAGCCCCAACCGAAGGTGAACTTCTTCGATGGAACACTGACGTCCACATCGGGAGCCGAAACCTGTCCAGTCACTCCCAACTCTCCACCTCTACCTGCACCACCTGACACGCCGATTTCCGGCACAGACGCAGATACCTCCACATCAGGAACCTCCAAGGAGACGTCGAGATCGGGTTTCGGAACTGAGACATCAACACCACCAGTCGGAGCCGAGACAGATATTGAGGCGTCCGGCTTTCTAGCACCACCACCTATCTTCAGACCACCCTTCGGGAACCCGAACTTCGGAGACCAGTGGAATTTCTTACCTCCTTTGCTTGCTTTGCCATCAATGTGGGCGTCCAGTCCGGCGTCCAAATCTACCTTCGCACCTCCCTCTCCCTCCACCTTCACACCAGCTTTCGGTGTCTTCAATTTCGCCTTCTTATTACCAAAACCGAAACCGAATTTCGGTGCCTTGATTGAAATATGCGGTTTGGGAACGTCGACACTCGCACTCACACCTGCATCTGGCGCTACACCATGCACGTCGAGATCTGGACCGGTCAGCTGTACACTAGGCAATTTCACGTCCAATTCAGCACTGGGTAGTTTCACATCTGTGTCCAGACCGGCAGACACCTGAGGAATGGACAAGTCACCCTCCACAGACGGTGCACTCACACCTCCTGATATCTCCAGGTCAGGCAGTTTCAAATCAGCGTCGTTGATCTTCACGCCAGTCCCATCTAGATCCAGCTTACCAGAGAGATCACCTGTTAACGATGCGTCTGGAAGGGACACGTCGACACTCGGCAAATTACCACTGGCTCTCAATGATGGCAATTCCACAGATGGAACAGTTCCACTCACACTCACATCGGGTGCATCTGCATGCAGTTTTCCAGACACCTCTGGCATGTGCATCTTGAACTTTGGCAAAGTGATTTTAGGGGACCAGTTGAACTTCTTACCTTTGCCATGAGCATCTGCGTCTACATCGACCTCAACACTGGGAACGTCAACCTTCCCACTGACATCGACACCAGCACCTATGTCTCCCGACACCTTCGGCAACTTCGCCTTCTTCGCCTTCTTGCCTTTGGAGCCCCAACCGAAGGTGAACTTCTTCGATGGAACACTGACGTCCACATCGGGAGCCGAAACCTGTCCAGTCACTCCCAACTCTCCACCTCTACCTGCACCACCTGACACGCCGATTTCCGGCACAGACGCAGATACCTCCACATCAGGAACCTCCAAGGAGACGTCGAGATCGGGTTTCGGAACTGAGACATCAACACCACCAGTCGGAGCCGAGACAGATATTGAGGCGTCCGGCTTTCTAGCACCACCACCTATCTTCAGACCACCCTTCGGGAACCCGAACTTCGGAGACCAGTGGAATTTCTTACCTCCTTTGCTTGCTTTGCCATCAATGTGGGCGTCCAGTCCGGCGTCCAAATCTACCTTCGCACCTCCCTCTCCCTCCACCTTCACACCAGCTTTCGGTGTCTTCAATTTCGCCTTCTTATTACCAAAACCGAAACCGAATTTCGGTGCCTTGATTGAAATATGCGGTTTGGGAACATCGACACTCGCACTCACACCTGCATCTGGCGCTACACCATGCACGTCGAGATCTGGACCGGTCAGCTGTACACTAGGCAATTTCACGTCCAATTCAGCACTGGGTAGTTTCACATCTGTGTCCAGACCGGCAGACACCTGAGGAATGGACAAGTCACCCTCCACAGACGGTGCACTCACACCTCCTGATATCTCCAGGTCAGGCAGTTTCAAATCAGCGTCGTTGATCTTCACGCCAGTCCCATCTAGATCCAGCTTACCAGAGAGATCACCTGTTAACGATGCGTCTGGAAGGGACACGTCGACACTCGGCAAATTACCACTGGCTCTCAATGATGGCAATTCCACAGATGGAACAGTTCCACTCACACTCACATCGGGTGCATCTGCATGCAGTTTTCCAGACACCTCTGGCATGTGCATCTTGAACTTTGGCAAAGTGATTTTAGGGGACCAGTTGAACTTCTTACCTTTGCCATGAGCATCTGCGTCTACATCGACCTCAACACTGGGAACGTCAACCTTCCCACTGACATCGACACCAGCACCTATGTCTCCCGACACCTTCGGCAACTTCGCCTTCTTCGCCTTCTTGCCTTTGGAGCCCCAACCGAAGGTGAACTTCTTCGATGGAACACTGACGTCCACATCGGGAGCCGAAACCTGTCCAGTCACTCCCAACTCTCCACCTCTACCTGCACCACCTGACACGCCGATTTCCGGCACAGACGCAGAAACCTCCACATCAGGAACCTCCAAGGAGACGTCGAGATCGGGTTTCGGAACTGAGACATCAACACCACCAGTCGGAGCCGAGACAGATATTGAGGCGTCCGGCTTTCTAGCACCACCACCTATCTTCAGACCACCCTTCGGGAACCCGAACTTCGGAGACCAGTGGAATTTCTTACCTCCTTTGCTTGCTTTGCCATCAATGTGGGCGTCCAGTCCGGCGTCCAAATCTACCTTCGCACCTCCCTCTCCCTCCACCTTCACACCAGCTTTCGGTGTCTTCAATTTCGCCTTCTTATTACCAAAACCGAAACCGAATTTCGGTGCCTTGATTGAAATATGCGGTTTCGGAACATCGACACTCGCACTCACACCTGCATCTGGCGCTACACCATGCACGTCGAGATCTGGACCGGTCAGCTGTACACAAGGCAATTTCACGTCCAATTCAGCACTGGGTAGTTTCACATCTGTGTCCAGACCGGCAGACACCTGAGGAATGGACAAGTCACCCTCCACAGACGGTGCACTCACACCTCCTGATATCTCCAGGTCAGGCAGTTTCAAATCAGCGTCGTTGATCTTCACGCCAGTCCCATCAAGATCCAGCTTACCAGAGAGATCACCTGTTAACGATGCGTCTGGAAGGGACACGTCGACACTCGGCAAATTACCACTGGCACTCAATGATGGCAATTCCACAGATGGAACAGTTCCACTCACACTCACAACGGGTGCATCTGCATGCAGTTTTCCAGACACCTCTGGCATGTGCATCTTGAACTTTGGCAAAGTGATTTTAGGGGACCAGTTGAAATTCTTACCTTTGCCATGAGCATCTGCGTCTACATCGACCTCAACACTGGGAACGTCAACCTTCCCACTGACATCGACACCAGCACCTATGTCTCCCGACACCTTCGGCAACTTCGCCTTCTTCGCCTTCTTGCCTTTGGAGCCCCAACCGAAGGTGAACTTCTTCGATGGAACACTGACGTCCACATCGGGAGCCGAAACCTGTCCAGTCACTCCCAACTCTCCACCTCTACCTGCACCACCTGACACGCCGATTTCCGGCACAGACGCAGATACCTCCACATCAGGAACCTCCAAGGAGACGTCGAGATCGGGTTTCGGAACTGAGACATCAACACCACCAGTCGGAGCCGAGACAGATATTGAGGCGTCCGGCTTTCTAGCACCACCACCTATCCTCAGACCACCCTTCGGAAACCCGAACTTCGGAGACCAGTGGAATTTCTTACCTCCTTTGCTTGCTTTGCCATCAATGTGGGCGTCCAGTCCGGCGTCCAAATCTACCTTCGCACCTCCCTCTCCCTCCACCTTCACACCAGCTTTCGGTGTCTTCAATTTCGCCTTCTTATTACCAAAACCGAAACCGAATTTCGGTGCCTTGATTGAAATAAGCGGTTTGGGAACGTCGACACTCGCACTCACACCTGCATCTGGCGCTACACCATACACGTCGAGATCTGGACCGGTCAGCTGTACACTAGGCAATTTCACGTCCAATTCAGCACTGGGTAGTTTCACATCTGTGTCCAGACCGGCAGACACCTGAGGAATGGACAAGTCACCCTCCACAGACGGTGCACTCACACCTCCTGATATCTCCAGGTCAGGCAGTTTCAAATCAGCGTCGTTGATCTTCACGCCAGTCCCATCTAGATCCAGCTTACCAGAGAGATCACCTGTTAACGATGCTGCTGGAAGGGACACGTCGACACTCGGCAAATTACCACTGGCTCTCAAAGATGGCAATTCCACAGATGGAACAGTTCCACTCACACTCACATCGGGTGCATCTGCATGCAGTTTTCCAGACACCTCTGGCATGTGCATCTTGAACTTTGGCCAAGTGATTTTAGGGGACCAGTTGAACTTCTTACCTTTGCCATGAGCATCTGCGTCTACATCGACCTCAACACTGGGAACGTCAACCTTCCCACTGACATCGACACCAGCACCTATGTCTCCCGACACCTTCGCAACCTTCGCCTTCTTCGCCTTCTTGCCTTTGGAGCCCCAACCGAAGGTGAACTTCTTCGATGGAACACTGACGTCCACATCGGGAGCCGAAACCTGTCCAGTCACTCCCAACTCTCCACCTCTACCTGCACCACCTGACACGCCGATTTCCGGCACAGACGCAGATACCTCCACATCAGGAACCTCCAAGGAGACGTCGAGATCGGGTTTCGGAACTGAGACATCAACACCACCAGTCGGAGCCGAGACAGATATTGAGGCGTCCGGCTTTCTAGCACCACCACCTATCTTCAGACCACCCTTCGGGAACCCGAACTTCGGAGACCAGTGGAATTTCTTACCTCCTTTGCTTGCTTTGCCATCAATGTGGGCGTCCAGTCCGGCGTCCAAATCTACCTTCGCACCTCCCTCTCCCTCCACCTTCACACCAGCTTTCGGTGTCTTCAATTTCGCCTTCTTATTACCAAAACCGAAACCGAATTTCGGTGCCTTGATTGAAATATGCGGTTTGGGAACATCGACACTCGCACTCACACCTGCATCTGGCGCTACACCATGCACGTCGAGATCTGGACCGGTCAGCTGTACACTAGGCAATTTCACGTCCAATTCAGCACTGGGTAGTTTCACATCTGTGTCCAGACCGGCAGACACCTGAGGAATGGACAAGTCACCCTCCACAGACGGTGCACTCACACCTCCTGATATCTCCAGGTCAGGCAGTTTCAAATCAACGTCGTTGATCTTCACGCCAGTCCCATCTAGATCCAGCTTACCAGAGAGATCACCTGTTAACGATGCGTCTGGAAGGGACACGTCGACACTCGGCAAATTACCACTGGCTCTCAATGATGGCAATTCCACAGATGGAACAGTTCCACTCACACTCACATCGGGTGCATCTGCATGCAGTTTTCCAGACACCTCTGGCATGTGCATCTTGAACTTTGGCAAAGTGATTTTAGGGGACCAGTTGAACTTCTTACCTTTGCCATGAGCATCTGCGTCTACATCGACCTCAACACTGGGAACGTCAACCTTCCCACTGACATCGACACCAGCACCTATGTCTCCCGACACCTTCGGCAACTTCGCCTTCTTCGCCTTCTTGCCTTTGGAGCCCCAACCGAAGGTGAACTTCTTCGATGGAACACTGACGTCCACATCGGGAGCCGAAACCTGTCCAGTCACTCCCAACTCTCCACCTCTACCTGCACCACCTGACACGCCGATTTCCGGCACAGACGCAGATACCTCCACATCAGGAACCTCCAAGGAGACGTCGAGATCGGGTTTCGGAACTGAGACATCAACACCACCAGTCGGAGCCGAGACAGATATTGAGGCGTCCGGCTTTCTAGCACCACCACCTATCTTCAGACCACCCTTCAGGAACCCGAACTTCGGAGACCAGTGGAATTTCATACCTCCTTTGCTTGCTTTGCCATCAATGTGGGCGTCCAGTCCGGCGTCCAAATCTACCTTCGCACCTCCCTCTCCCTCCACCTTCACACCAGCTTTCGGTGTCTTCAATTTCGCCTTCTTATTACCAAAACCGAAACCGAATTTCGGTGCCTTGATTGAAATATGCGGTTTGGGAACATCGACACTCGCACTCACACCTGCATCTGGCGCTACACCATGCACGTCGAGATCTGGACCGGTCAGCTGTACACTAGGCAATTTCACGTCCAATTCAGCACTGGGTAGTTTCACATCTGTATCCAGACCGGCAGACACCTGAGGAATGGACAAGTCACCCTCCACAGACGGTGCACTCACACCTCCTGATATCTCCAGGTCAGGCAGTTTCAAATCAGCGTCGTTGATCTTCACGCCAGTCCCATCTAGATCCAGCTTACCAGAGAGATCACCTGTTAACGATGCGTCTGGAAGGGACACGTCGACACTCGGCAAATTACCACTGGCTCTCAATGATGGCAATTCCACAGATGGAACAGTTCCACTCACACTCACATCGGGTGCATCTGCATGCAGTTTTCCAGACACCTCTGGCATGTGCATCTTGAACTTTGGCAAAGTGATTTTAGGGGACCAGTTGAACTTCTTACCTTTGCCATGAGCATCTGCGTCTACATCGACCTCAACACTGGGAACGTCAACCTTCCCACTGACATCGACACCAGCACCTATGTCTCCCGACACCTTCGGCAACTTCGCCTTCTTCGCCTTCTTGCCTTTGGAGCCCCAACCGAAGGTGAACTTCTTCGATGGAACACTGACGTCCACATCAGGAGCCGAAACCTGTCCAGTCACTCCCAACTCTCCACCTCTACCTGCACCACCTGACACGCCGATTTCCGGCACAGACGCAGATACCTCCACATCAGGAACCTCCAAAGAGACGTCGAGATCGGGTTTCGGAACTGAGACATCAACACCACCAGTCGGAGCCGAGACAGATATTGAGGCGTCCGGCTTTCTAGCACCACCACCTATCTTCAGACCACCCTTCGGGAACCCGAACTTCGGAGACCAGTGGAATTTCTTACCTCCTTTGCTTGCTTTGCCATCAATGTGGGCGTCCAGTCCGGCGTCCAAATCTACCTTCGCACCTCCCTCTCCCTCCACCATCACAACAGCTTTCGGTGTCTTCAATTTCGCCTTCTTATTACCAAAACCGAAACCGAATTTCGGTGCCTTGATTGAAATATGCGGTTTGGGAACATCGACACTCGCACTCACACCTGCATCTGGCGCTACACCATGCACGTCGAGATCTGGACCGGTCAGCTGTACACTAAGCAATTTCACGTCCAATTCAGCACTGGGTAGTTTCACATCTGTGTCCAGACCGGCAGACACCTGAGGAATGGACAAGTCACCCTCCACAGACGGTGCACTCACACCTCCTGATATCTCCAGGTCAGGCAGTTTCAAATCAGCGTCGTTGATCTTCACGCCAGTACCATCTAGATCCAGCTTACCAGAGAGATCACCTGTTAACGATGCGTCTGGAAGGGACACGTCGACACTCGGCAAATTACCACTGGCTCACAATGATGGCAATTCCACAGATGGAACAGTTCCACTCACACTCACATCGGGTGCATCTGCATGCAGTTTTCCAGACACCTCTGGCATGTGCATCTTGAACTTTGGCAAAGTGATTTTAGGGGACCAGTTGAACTTCTTACCTTTGCCATGAGCATCTGCGTCTACATCGACCTCAACACTGGGAACGTCAACCTTCCCACTGACATCGACACCAGCACCTATGTCTCCCGACACCTTCGGCAACTTCGCCTTCTTCGCCTTCTTGCCTTTGGAGCCCCAACCGAAGGTGAACTTCTTCGATGGAACACTGACGTCCACATCGGGAGCCGAAACCTGTCCAGTCACTCCCAACTCTCCACCTCTACCTGCACCACCTGACACGCCGATTTCCGGCACAGACGCAGATACCTCCACATCAGGAACCTCCAAGGAGACGTCGAGATCGGGTTTCGGAACTGAGACATCAACACCACCAGTCGGAGCCGAGACAGATATTGAGGCGTCCGGCTTTCTAGCACCACCACCTATCTTCAGACCACCCTTCGGGAACCCGAACTTCGGAGACCAGTGGAATTTCTTACCTCCTTTGCTTGCTTTGCCATCAATGTGGGCGTCCAGTCCGGCGTCCAAATCTACCTTCGCACCTCCCTCTCCCTCCACCTTCACACCAGCTTTCGGTGTCTTCAATTTCGCCTTCTTATTACCAAAACCGAAACCGAATTTCGGTGCCTTGATTGAAATATGCGGTTTGGGAACATCGACACTCGCACTCACACCTGCATCTGGCGCTACACCATGCACGTCGAGATCTGGACCGGTCAGCTGTACACTAGGCAATTTCACGTCCAATTCAGCACTGGGTAGTTTCACATCTGTGTCCAGACCGGCAGACACCTGAGGAATGGACAAGTCACCCTCCACAGACGGTGCACTCACACCTCCTGATATCTCCAGGTCAGGCAGTTTCAAATCAGCGTCGTTGATCTTCACGCCAGTCCCATCTAGATCCAGCTTACCAGAGAGATCACCTGTTAACGATGCGTCTGGAAGGGACACGTCGACACTCGGCAAATTACCACTGGCTCTCAATGATGGCAATTCCACAGATGGAACAGTTCCACTCACACTCACATCGGGTGCATCTGCATGCAGTTTTCCAGACACCTCTGGCATGTGCATCTTGAACTTTGGCAAAGTGATTTTAGGGGACCAGTTGAACTTCTTACCTTTGCCATGAGCATCTGCGTCTACATCGACCTCAACACTGGGAACGTCAACCTTCCCACTGACATCGACACCAGCACCTATGTCTCCCGACACCTTCGGCAACTTCGCCTTCTTCGCCTTCTTGCCTTTGGAGCCCCAACCGAAGGTGAACTTCTTCGATGGAACACTGACGTCCACATCGGGAGCCGAAACCTGTCCAGTCACTCCCAACTCTCCACCTCTACCTGCACCACCTGACACGCCGATTTCCGGCACAGACGCAGATACCTCCACATCAGGAACCTCCAAGGAGACGTCGAGATCGGGTTTCGGAACTGAGACATCAACACCACCAGTCGGAGCCGAGACAGATATTGAGGCGTCCGGCTTTCTAGCACCACCACCTATCTTCAGACCACCCTTCGGGAACCCGAACTTCGGAGACCAGTGGAATTTCTTACCTCCTTTGCTTGCTTTGCCATCAATGTGGGCGTCCAGTCCGGCGTCCAAATCTACCTTCGCACCTCCCTCTCCCTCCACCTTCACACCAGCTTTCGGTGTCTTCAATTTCGCCTTCTTATTACCAAAACCGAAACCGAATTTCGGTGCCTTGATTGAAATATGCGGTTTGGGAACATCGACACTCGCACTCACACCTGCATCTGGCGCTACACCATGCACGTCGAGATCTGGACCGGTCAGCTGTACACTAGGCAATTTCACGTCCAATTCAGCACTGGGTAGTTTCACATCTGTGTCCAGACCGGCAGACACCTGAGGAATGGACAAGTCACCCTCCACAGACGGTGCACTCACACCTCCTGATATCTCCAGGTCAGGCAGTTTCAAATCAGCGTCGTTGATCTTCACGCCAGTCCCATCTAGATCCAGCTTACCAGAGAGATCACCTGTTAACGATGCGTCTGGAAGGGACACGTCGACACTCGGCAAATTACCACTGGCTCTCAATGATGGCAATTCCACAGATGGAACAGTTCCACTCACACTCACATCGGGTGCATCTGCATGCAGTTTTCCAGACACCTCTGGCATGTGCATCTTGAACTTTGGCAAAGTGATTTTAGGGGACCAGTTGAACTTCTTACCTTTGCCATGAGCATCTGCGTCTACATCGACCTCAACACTGGGAACGTCAACCTTCCCACTGACATCGACACCAGCACCTATGTCTCCCGACACCTTCGGCAACTTCGCCTTCTTCGCCTTCTTGCCTTTGGAGCCCCAACCGAAGGTGAACTTCTTCGATGGAACACTGACGTCCACATCGGGAGCCGAAACCTGTCCAGTCACTCCCAACTCTCCACCTCTACCTGCACCACCTGACACGCCGATTTCCGGCACAGACGCAGATACCTCCACATCAGGAACCTCCAAGGAGACGTCGAGATCGGGTTTCGGAACTGAGACATCAACACCACCAGTCGGAGCCGAGACAGATATTGAGGCGTCCGGCTTTCTAGCACCACCACCTATCTTCAGACCACCCTTCGGGAACCCGAACTTCGGAGACCAGTGGAATTTCTTACCTCCTTTGCTTGCTTTGCCATCAATGTGGGCGTCCAGTCCGGCGTCCAAATCTACCTTCGCACCTCCCTCTCCCTCCGCCTTCACTCCATGTTTGGGAGTGCTATATGTCTTTTTCTTATGTCGAATTCCTATTTTGAGTTTTGGTTTAATTTTTTCTTTTTCGTTTTTCAGATTGGATTGATCTTTTTGCTCGTTGTTTTCGTGTTGGTAAGTGGTGTTTTCATCGATGTCTTCAAATTTGTCGTTGATGCTTCGTCTTGATTTGTTTCCGTTTTTGTTTCTTTCGTCTTGGCCTTTTTGTTGAGTTTCTCACTTTTGCTAGGAACGCATGGTTTCCAATTGTTCTGTTTTTTCATTTTGTTTTTTTGCTTTCCCCTTAGTTTACATTCGACGCGTGGAAAATCTTCAGTTATTGTGTAGTCTTGATTGTCTTCTGACTTTCCACTTACTTCCCTGAAACTGTCTTTTTTTGACGTCTCGCGCTTGATTCTCTCCTTATTGTTACTACTTCTGACCTTTTTTATTTTTAATCTTGGTGAACAGCCAGTAGTATCTTTATGTCGTTCTTTGTTCTTTGAGATAGGCATAGACTCTTCATCTTTTGATTTTTCGGTCTTTGACTTAGTCTTCTTGAAAGTTATCTTTTCTTTAGCTGGTTTATCGGATGTTGGTCTTAATTTTTTCCCTGAATGCTTCACATTAATTGGAAGTTGATCAGGTGTTATCTCTACCTGACACATTTTTAAATCACAGTGATCTGGACTAATTTCAGATGTGTAGTGCGGTAATACATAGTTCTCATATCCCTGATTATTGGTATTTATATGATGATCAGCTTCTAGTCTAGCAGGGGAATCATGTCCTCTTAGATAACTATTATCATCAGACAATATAAACTTGTGACTTACCGTTGAATCATTAATATTATTATTATCATTATAATCCACATTATGTTTACGTGATTTAGGTGAGGCTTCTTCACTCGACTGTACATAATATACTGGAACGTATAAATTACTGCTTAACGGTAATTTAATCGGTATATACAATGGATTATCAAATTCTGTACAAATATCCTTTTCAATACTCGTCAAATACGTTTCATAATGGTCTGTAATTCGATAATTCGAATTCTCTTTGAGTGTATCAGTAGATAATTTATGTTTATTGTCTTCATCAATACCAAGATCGTCATAACTACCTTTTTTGTCGTCTAAATTTGTATTACTAGATTTCATTGGATTTTTTGTTAATGTTGATTCTAATGGTGGTGTATGACTAGTCTCCCAAACATCGGATAGTTTTGATTTTTCACAGACAGGATCTGTTAGAGTTTTGTAGACTTCATCGTCTAATTTAACTTTGTAATCATCTTCAATTAGATTTTCTTTGACTACTTGTTGTTCAATTTTAGCGCATTCATCAGGTGTATTCAATTTATCAGTAGACATGGTTAGTAGTAGATTTGTTTATTGAATTATATAAAGCAGGTAGCTTCCAGATTTAATGTTAATATTTGTAAAATAATGCATACACAATATAACACAACACTAGGTGTATTCAGTTGGTTGAATAGAAAACAGAAGAGGAATTTAATCGTTTGAATTGATATCAATGTGAAGGATTATGTCTCCATAAGTTCTGTAGCAGCAAAACATGGTGTAATAAAGTTTGATAAACACGAGAGTATATCAGAAGCATTTGTCTTCATTATTCTTATTGTTATATTATTTTTTATATTTGTATATTGATAGCTGATTGATCTGAAATATCGACGGAGAAAACAAAAGTATAAGTGAGTTGAAAAGAAGACTTTTCTCTCTTGATTCGATAAATATATTTATGCAATTCTCACTCACATATACGCTGACTTGATCATTGCCATTTCAGTATATATTTATTCCATTCCAAATATTGAATTTGCAAGAAATAAATATTATTAATTATTGATGTATGATTATAAGAAAAAAACAGTGTATCAAAAAACAAAAAGCAAAGAAAACAGAAATAAGGCTGAAAAATTCGAAAGTATGCTGCCGTTTATTCACAAGATGCCTTATCGTTATAATGGAAGCTCCGCATAATGCAAGGAGACGTGTATCTTCCAAACCTTCACACTGTGTGAATTGGATAGAATTAAAGAGAAATATACAATATTGTAGGCTTGGTTAATAATAACAGACTTAGCGTAGGTGTAAAAACTATTATTATTGACTCCTTTTGTACTAGTACTAGTACTGGTAAAATGGAGAAAACAAAGTTAGAAAGCACAGAACCCCTGCATACATTATTCAACTAAAATAAAGTATTTGAAAATGGAGTAACCTATCACAGGGTTTAAAAGTGGATTCACAGATTAACTTACCATGTTACAATCTTCGTTACACATGATGTGTATACCGCCTTCAGTTCCAGTTGGTATTGGATAAAATCAACTTGACTGATTACAAAATTATAAGTAACCCACATATACTAACCCTACGCTTTTTTACTGAATATATTTTAAAGAAAAAGAAGCAATCAAATCAAGGGAATAGTTTTGCTACAAAATAGAATGACAGACACATGGAGAGTGATGAATAGACATAAAAATAACAAATTAACCAATCACTATAATTTATGGGTTGAATAATAA